CCCCTCTGTCATGATATGTATCGTATCGCCAAATTCTTGCCAATACACAGCCCTAGCGGGGGTGTCGTAGGGACTATGAAAGGTCTGTGCGAAAACGACTGCCGAACAACCACGTGACCGCGCGTTGACCCGTCGGAGCGAGTATGTTCCAGGCTTGAGTCAGAGCAGGAGTTCTGCTGCGTCTTTTTTTTCCTTCATCCTGAAACTTTTTGCTGCTTATCAAATAACTTTGAGCCTCGGTCAGAAAAAAAGACTGAAGGGTTTTATATTTCTGGCCCGAGAGAAGAAGGAAACAAATGATGGACTGAGGTACTTCTTTTTTTTTTCGCCACGGGACATGCTTCCTCCTCACGATGCGGCTCGCATTAAATCAGACAGTCATTTAAAAAAATTAAATGTGCCATATACTTTTTATCATATCTTCGGATCTACTTGGCCTAACAACACAATTTAAAAAAAACGGGTTCAAGTTCGAAGTCTCTACTTTTCACTCAAGGGTCAGAGAGGGCAGRTCTTTACAGGTAGTTTTTTTTCCTTCYTAAACTTTATTTAGGTCAGCCAGCATTGACAACGCTCTGTGGGTGACATAAACCGCTCCGAGATATGACAAGAGACGCATAAATCGCGCGACAAAACAAAKCGATAATGAAATTCATTGCCAACGCTTTTAATAATCGATTTTATCGATTCGTTGTTGCAGCCCTAGTGATATGGCTGACAAACATATCAAGATTTAAGCTTTTTATATCAATCTTCCTTAGCTAGTGAGAGGTCGAGTGGCTAAAGCCTTTCCTCTGCCTACATCCCCAAGAATGCGGTGTGGTTCTGGATCAGWGTTCAGTGAAATTATCAATGTTYTATTGGGAAATTTTTCCACTGAWATTGAATATGTGTACATYGCAATTTATATTGTTACTGAAAAATTTCCCGGGCATTACATATATTCTAATTATTTGGAGATGCCACCTCAGCCCACCTTTTCAGATGTCGAGAGTACCATATCTGTTACTGCCATGCTCTGAGGTACAGAGGCACGACTAGGGTTGGGCATAATCGCATTGTGTGCAATTAATCGTCAGTAAAACATTAATCGATTACTTTTTTTGGCACTTGACGATTAATACGATTAATGCCACCAGGCAGATGACTGGAGATTTCTCCAGTCAGTCTTCTCGATGCTCCTCTCTGCGTTAAATATGACGAACATTAAAAATAATGTTCTGTAATTTATTTTTCTATCAACACAATTTAAAAGTTGATGTTTAGCCTGAAGTCTGCGATCTGTAGTCTGTAAGAACAGATTTTTACAAAGAGCAAATCTTTCCCACTAAATTGGTCATTTGACTAGGACATAAGAGTGTCCAGGGACTCCAGGGGATTAATAGTCAAATTAATCGTTATCGGCTAAATACCACAATTAATCGTGATGCATTTTTTTGCCAATATTGCTCAACCCTAGGGCTTTCCGCCTTCCTGTATCTTCTGAAAGGACCAAGGTGGTCAGAAGATGACTCAATAATGGTACAGGGCCTCTTCTGAAACTGACTGTGTTCGCCTAGACTCACTAAAATTACAACTGTGGTGGTACAAGACAAAAAATGCTCACTTTCTCTTTTAAAAGGGTGCAAATTAGCAAAATGACATCTAACAGGAGTGAGACATCCAATGGTGTGTCCAAGAGTGAAACAACATGGAGTCCCTGATTCCACTTTCAGATCTTGGTGAGAGACCAAAAAGCAGGGGAGGAGACCTCGACCACCACCCTCCTAATGCCGTCCCGCAGATGTTTGCAAACTTACGTGCTGTTGAGAATCTGGAACCGCTCCCCCTTCCTGAAACTGAGGTCATCCTCCGTCCTGGCCTCATAGTCGTACAGAGCCACGAACAGAGTCACCCCTGCAGGAATGAAACATGATACATGAGCTGCTTTTGATCTACAGTTCTACAGCGCTGTGTGGGTTTTTTCTAATCTCCATCTTTAATGTTTGGAGCTTCAGTCACATAAGGCAGCTTTTAATTCAAAATGAACCGAGTCTGTGAAAGAAAATGTGAATACGACTTATAGATGCTAACCAATATTATCCTGAAGCTTTAGTTAGGACCAAAAACAAGTCAGTTATCTGCTGAAATTAATAATATTAGAACATGTTAAACATGAACTAATGAATAAAACCTGCTATTTAAGGTTTATTCTATGAATTAGCTTTGGTTGGTTTAAAACTTGTTAGCAAACTTTGGTTGTCGAAGAAGGAAACCAATCCTCTCTTTTTAAATTTACATGATAAAACTGGCTCAAGAGTCCCTGTTTTTTTAATAAGCCTGTAACTATAAAATGAATTCATTTTCTGATTGGATCTAAATCCCACAAAAGCTACATTTCTGCAGTTATGTCAACCAAAACTGCACTCTGACTCTGCTTAGCGTCTATCCCAGTTTAACTCAGTTTTTACTTTTTTTTTACCATCTTAGACATTTATGTTGCTTCAAGCTGCCTCCTGGACTGATTCCTTATTCATGCAAGTCAATGATGCTGACTCTTGCTGGGAAACACCTTCCGAAATATTCAAACYGACATTAAAGCAAAAGACGCTGTTAATTTATTAGCCACGCATTGTTTGTAAGTTTTAATTTTTAAGCAGGACCTCATGAAGACTTTTTTTTTCCATACTGGAGGCGGTTTTTACATTCTTTCAGCAACATGTTTGGTCCTTCTGCTCGTCAGATGTGCCTCAGAGCCCCGGCTATAATTTAGGTCAGTCTGGTTCCCATTAACAAGCACGCTGTGGACTTATGGCCTAAGCAGAAAGATTTATTTTTTAGTGTTAAACATTTCTGAAGCAAAATAAAAATAAAAAAGATCAAACCTATTGCTAAAGCTAGTCATTGTGTGAAACAAATAAAAACATTTAGCAATGATTTGCTAATCTCACTTTGAAGCATCTTTTCTTTTGACGAGTCTGTAAAGAACAAGAAACTGAGGATGGGAACATTGTCCTGGTCTTGCCTGGTGGCGTCCTGGGTCTTTGGTGGATTTGTATTTCTTTATGCTCTTTCTCAGGGCTGGTATAAGAGGGCTAGTTAACCTGAAGCAGAGATGAATTCAAACTCACCCGTTCCTCCCCTAGACCGAAGCGTCCCGGACTGCGAGGACGTGTGGACCCCTCCGAACACGGTCACTCCCTGCGTGGCCGCTCCGTGGAAGTTGTTGTAGTTGGGGATGGTGGTGACGCTGAAGCTGGGGTAGTGCTGCGGCGTGGGGTCCGACCCATAGCGGTAGCCCGAGTTGTGCGAAAGGCTGGTCTCCCGGTCATCAGTGAGTTTTGCTGCTTCTTTATCCTTACATTGGACACAGCCCATCCTCTATTGTCTGTCAGCGGAGAGAGGAAGAAGATGGAATTAACACGGTTTGACATAATAGCTCCAAAGCTGGCTCCGCTAGGGGAAATTATGATTTAATGTTCCATTATTTCACAATTTCCTCTGAGACTTTCAAAAAGCCTTCAGAAAAATCTTTCAATTAGGCTGAAATTAAAACACAATGCGTACTCTCCGTTACTACAGAGGAACAAAATGAGACAGAGCTCTCTATGCTTGGATAATCCTTGTACACAGAACTGCAGATGTGGAATATTTTATAATGAAATAATCCAGTTTAACTTGATGTAACAGAAGTCAAAATCACCACATTCCTACTGCCTTACACAACTTGACTTGTGAAGAGTGTGTTTAATTCATAAAAATGCCACAAACATCAATAGTTTCAGAGTTAAATTAAAGAGTTTAGCATTCCTCGAAGAAATACATATCACTCATTACCTTTGATTCCAATTATAGCCATTTATGTATTGGTTAATGCCAATTAGCTTTAGCAACTCTTTTGAATCCGACTGACTCCAAAGTTATTCAGCTGAAGATGCACATCTAAACAAGACTTTTTGAGTTTCAWWAAAATTTGCCCTGTGGTTCATGAGACGTTTTGTTCATGAGTGATGGTAGGATGGAGCGGGAGAGGGATCGACGGATCAGTGCCTCATCCTGAGGGCATTGTTTTGGTCAGTCGTGGTGAAGAAAGTGTTGAGTTAAAAAGGCCAAACTCTCGATCTACTGATCTGTCTACATTCCAACCCTCATCTATGGTCATGAGGTGTGGATCATGGCAGAAAAAACAAGATCCTGGATGCAAGCAGCTGAAATGAGCTTCCTTTGCGGCCGGGCTCAGCTGGAGCTTGGAGTAGAGCTGCTGCTCCTTCGAATCATAGAAGTCAATTGAGATCAGAATCAGAATCAGTTTTATTGCCAATGTCAATGAACAGGATTCACAGACTAGGAATTTGCTTCGATGTAAAGGTGCAAAAAGTATAAAATATAACGAATAAAGAAAATACAAAGAATAAAGGAAAAATAGAATAAAACATATACACCAGTTCAATACAGTAATTAGAGAAGACAATATAGTTGGAGTAGGGCAGTTAGATCCACTGATAAAGTGACMAGAAAAACAATATAGTCAGAGTTGTGCTGTTTAAGAAACCAGTGATAAAGTGGCCAAGGCAGAGTTTTAGAGTCATGTGTTCTAAAAGTTCTAAATGTTCAAGAGTCTGACRGTAGAGGGGAATAAATTGTTCTTATGGCGGGCTGTTCTGGTCCAAATGGATCGAAACCTTTTGCCTGAGGGKAGTGGTATGAACTGGCTGCATGCAGTGTGAGAAGGGTCMGCTGTGATCTGACCTGCTCGCCTCACAGTCCTGGAGACGTACAGGTCATGGAGAGATGGGAGGCTACAACCGATCACCTTCTCAGCGGAGCGCACAACGTGCTGCAGTCTGTGTCTGTCCCTAACAGTGACTCTGGCATACCACAACATGATGGAGGAGCTGAGGATGGACTCCATGATGGCCGTGTAGAACTGCACCATCAGCTTGGTCGGGTGGTTCGGGTATCTGACTAGGATGCCTCCTGGACCTGGATTATGTATCCTATCTGGTCTGGAAACACATCATAGTCCCCCAAGATGAAGTGAAATGTGTCTGGGTAGAAGGATGTCTGGGTTTCTCTCTTGGATCTGTTGCCTCCACAACCTGACTATCAATAAGCAGTAGATGTAGGTTCATGATATATTTTGCTAACAGCTAGAGTTAACTTGAAATAGTTGCTGGTAAAGTTTGAAGCAAAGATCTTGTGCAGCTCAGAATGTGTGTTGGGGATTAGTTTACTACCACAACAAATTCTAAGTCAATATTTGTCAAATTGACCTAGCTTTGAATAGGTTTTGTAATAAAACACATTCGATTGGAGCCCCAAATTAAGTGCAGGAAACCAATACAGTTTGCAGACACGAGGATTTATTTGCAGATACACAAARTTTATCACATCACATCACTGTGGATCATTTGACCCAGAACCTCCCTCTGTTCTGGAGTCTAAGTAAACAATCATAGGCTGTGTGTTTTTTAACATGGTTTTACAAAACCCATTCACAGCTCCTGGAGGTGGGCCCTCCTATGTCAGCATTGAAATTATGTTTTTTTTAGGCGTGTGTTAAACTAAATAAAGACATTGATTTTCAACYTGTTTAAAGTAAATTATTACAATATATCACAAAGTATAAAATGGAGGCATGTATCGGAAATTCAGTTAATCACAACATATCTTTCAGTTGAATCCGATTCAGCCGTAGATGCATTGCACACCCAGTGATTACTCCCTGCAAACCTGTGCAGTGGTTCATGTGATATTTACAACAAAAACACTATTGCCTGCCAAAAAACAGCCAAGTGATAAACACATATAAAGACCCCAAAGCCTTTTCTGGTGCTACTTTTCATCTCATAAGGAGGACTGATGGAGGATGTGGCCTCAGTGAACCAGCTTCTCTAATGAGTGGGGCGAATCTTTGTCAATTAAAAAGGAGCCTTGGCATCTTTATGGACGCTGTTAAATTAATGAACATCCAGGCTTAAGGAGCCCACCTTTTAAGGCCAGGAAGCTGGGCCTGAAGGTGGTGAAACATGGCTGGAATGAGGTAGATGACAGCAGGGTTGTCTTTCATCAGCTGACTTCAGACACAGAAAATTGGAAACATACGTGTTTACAGAGTCTGCGGGTGGAGAAGGGTGGTACTCAGAGTAAAATGCCAGACTACAAAAGACAAGGAAAAGTGTCAAACCTTTTCTCATCCAAAGTAAAGATTCTGTTATCCAAAATGTCACGGATTGTTTACTTACAGGGCAGATTGTAGGGAGAAAAATGATGACGTAAAATATATTTTACCAATAAAACCAACAGATGTAAAAAAAGTAAATAATCTGAAAAC